TTGCTTTCTTGCAGTGTTCTATATGCCTTGATTGGTACACGTTTGAGTCTTTGGGAATTGAAGTGGCCTGGATTTTCAGCTTCTCTTATAAATTTCTTATATGGGGGTTTAAACAATTCATTGTTGTTGTCGTTAAATATTAGGCTGTCTTATGTATTTTGAAATGACCATCTCATTCATTAGTACAACCCCTTTAAAAATTCAAGTTTTCTGGATTTGAGCCTTTCGTGTAACATAGGTTTTAACAAATCATTGTTTTTCAATTTCAACTCGTGAAGGTTTTATTGGCTAGAACTCTCTCATGGACACACACATGTGCACATATATTCAATCTTTTAGATGCCACAAAGCATCCCACTCCAACAATTTGATGGAAGATGATTCATTAATTTTTCACTTGTTTAGTTATGTTAAGCATCCAACCTAAAATCAAGACCCCCGGCCTGTGTAAGTTTAACAAAAGAGCAAATGTGTAGGTGTATTGATCCAACTTCATGTGGTATATATACTATAATGTTTTCATTGACAGAAATTCTTGTAAAATTTTCAAATTTAAATTGTGAAACTTCGGTGTTACCAATAGGTTCTGGTGTCTGTTGGAAGTGGACCATGGGATCAACTATTTGGTGGTGGAAACTCACCTGCTTTTGCTGTAGCTGGTATTGCGTCCCTCATGAGTGGACTGATGGCAATCTTGGCTATCCCTCGTAGTACTCCACAGAAGACCAGGGCCCTCCCATGAGGTATTTTGTTGTACCTTATTTTTTGTACGCCATCAAAATAAATATTAAATTGTTCAGATATCAAGAATTTGTATGTAGGCTGTTGTTATTTTATTGATCAATAAAATTATTACAATCTGAGGTTTTGTTTGCCAATACATATCTTTTTCAACATTGGAAATACTATTGGTGTACTACGTTGCGAATAGTAAGTTTATAGCTTTTACATTTATCAGCTTAAAAACCAGAAACTTGGAACAAGATTGTCTCTAGAACAAGTTCCTATAATTATTCGTTGAGGCCGCCCTTCAAAATGGAAATGATGGAAAACAAAATACCGGCAGGGCATTATTTTGCATATTGATCATGATGGAAACATAGTTATAATGTTAATTAATATGTAGTTTTCAATGAAGTTTGTGTTGATAAAAAGAAAGATATTTTGTAGCTTTCATTGAATTCTGGGCGAGACAAGCTAATCTAAAATCAGTGGGGAGTTTATTTTTTGGATGAAAAATCTGCCTGTAGCTTTCATTGAATTCTGGGCGAGACAAGCTAATCTAAAATCAGTGGGGAGTTTATTTTTTGGATGAAAAATCTGCCCACCTGCTCGTAATGCTGGTGAAAGCGTGGAGTGTGTGATTCCAGAATCAGTCCTAGCACCAAAGATAAGTTGTTGCTGATTGGGATCTATTACTTAGAAAACATTTAAAAAAAAATTTCTACAAAGAATTTTATTGGGTGAAAGGAAACATTGCAATTGCCCATTTGTGGTTCAGTCATGATGTATTGGAATCTCATGCATTGTTTTGTGCCGGAATTTGTTGAATGAAGGTGGTGGATTGTGCTTTGAGGCCAACAATATGTGAGTCGTGCTGATTGAAAATCTTTGATAGAGACATGTTCTTTTATGCCCTCATCTTTTTTTTCCCTCCCTTTTCCCAGTTGATTTTTAAGAGATGGCGCATCTCTGTATGATTATTCTGTTTTTATTAAAATTTACCTTTTAACTTGATCCCATCAGTGTCCATGAAAGGGCTGTTCTTGCTTTCAATGCTCCCCCATAACCTGATAAGCATTAAAAAGACTAACAATCATGACATGGCCGAGAACTGCAACCTTACTTATTAGCCTTTTTGGTAATATCGTTAAAATTTGTAACCCGCTCAATGTGCCTGAAATGCATTGGGTTTGGTGCCATTTCTTCATATCATCATCACTGACGCAGCTGAGGTGTTAGGACGGAACATTGGAAACAGGAAAAATTATTAATAATTATTTTGGAATATTTATGACTTTTCCCCGTACAGAACAAAACTGAAAATCAAACCATTTGCTTTCTTCTTTTTTAATCTCTCTTCATTCATGTTTCGTCAGTCTGAATTTATTGGCTGTTGAAGTTGTAGTAAATGATAATTAAGGCATCAATTCGATTTTTTTTTTGCTTATTGAAACTAAACAAGCAAGCATCAACTTTTTAATTTGGGAGGGAATCTATGAATTTGTTCGAGTTTGTAGACAAGACGTATGTATATAAAAAAAATCTTAACATCAGATACTGAAGGTCATGTCACTGTTGAATATCCTTTTCCTTGAATGAAACTTGAAGACGTTTGGGGTATTATACGAAAGCTCTTGTTGATGTGCCATTAGAAATTCTGCCTCAACTCCACTTCAACAACTGCTTGGTATGAAAGTGAAATGTTTTTTTTTCTGGAAGTAAAGTTTTATTCATCCAAAAGAATGTAGATTAGCTGCTACAAAACATAAACCTCTAAACAATTATATTAATTTCCAATCTATACACAGTTGTCTATTTACATCATCTAATCTATTCATATGGCTCTTGTACAATTTAATTCTCATAGCTTCTTTAATTCTACTAACAGTTATAACAATAGTTTTTTCTTTTCTGGTTAAACGCTAGAAAACGAATATCATCCTTGTCATTCCAGAACATCATGTCAATTCCTATTTTTACAGGATAGGACCCCCACTTCCCCATTACAAATGTTAAATTCAACATTTTTTTGTTTTAATGAATAATTTGAGACGAACGTTTGTCCGATTAGGTTCTTGCGTTTCATGACACATTTATCTCATCCACAGCAGACGAATGGAGTCTGATTCTCAAAGTTGGTCTGCAAAATGAGAAAACAAAAATGCTTGGCTTGATAGAGCGGAGTGTTAATGAGGGTGAAAAAAGGAATATAGGGTATAAATGGTTACAAATGGAGCACGTAATTGTGTATGGTAATATTTAAATTACCATTTAGCCATTCTCTAGTATATAAAATATTTATTATGCCAATATGCTTCTGACATTTCGCCAACAAGTTTTTTGGATAAATTCAAGATAAACTTGTACTAATAAAAATACATTATACGTGTCAAAAGAAAATAAAGTACCAAACAGATTTCTATTGACAGCAAAACAACAAAGGGTATACAAAATCAAATCTTCATATTCCAAAGTCTTGCTATCTTTCTCTCAGAGAATACTCTTCGCCTCAATTGTTGAACATATAAGAAGAATTCAAATTCGATGTTACTACCCTTCACATTCAGGTAGGAGATAGAAGGAGAAAAAGAGCAGAAAAGCTAAAAGAAAGGATAGGATGGGCGACCCCGGCCCCCTTCCAACTTCCAAAGAATTTTTAGTCATTTTTTTCTCTCAGCATTGGCTTCGGTATATTGTTATATCGACACGTTCCGGGAACCTAAAGCGTAGTCAAACGGGCTCTGTATAAATATCGACATTCATTCCATCTCCAAACCCCATAATAAGGCACAAACAGGATCGTCGACGTTCTTTACCATTGCAAACGCTTTCATTTGAACTTATCCATTCCCTTCCCTTTTTTTATATCATTTCTTTCCCTTCCCCCCCCCCCCCATAACTTCTTTTATCCATAAATTTAAGATAGCTAACTTCTAGCTATGTATAACCCAAAACCATCTTCTCCAAATCCTCCTTTCTCCCTCCTACAAAAAACCTTTTCAACAAAACTGCGGATTTTCCCATTCTCAATAAAGATGAACTTCATAGATTGCCAACGCTCTCCGAGGTATAAAAACAGCTTAAATTATATAAAAGGGTATTTTTTTTTCCAGAAATATTTCACCCAATGACGTATTTATATATATCTTGCTTTGTTTGTATTCAGGCTCTGGAAGAGATCAAAGCCATAGGGAAAATCTCCGGCCCGACGGCGATCAGTAGTTCACTTCTATATTCGAGAGCAATGATCTCCATGCTCTTTCTTGGCTATCTTGGTGAACTTGAACTTGCTGGTGGCTCTCTTGCTATAGGTGTTGCAAACATAACTGGCTACTCTGTAATCTAGGATTTAGCCATGGGAATGGAACCCATTTGTGGACAAGCTTATGGAGCCAAACAATGGAAACTGCTGGGGTTAACACTGCAGAAAACGGTGCTTATCCTCCTTTCGGCTTCTGTCCCCATCTCTTTCATGTGGGTGAACATGAAAACTATCCTTCTTAGGTGTGGTCAAAACCAAGAAATATCATCCGTGGCTCATACATTTATTCTTTTCTCCATCCCCGACCTTTTCTTCCTCTCGCTTCTTCACCCGCTTCGAATCTACCTCAGGACTCAAAGCATTAGTGCATTACGTTGCCCGTAACTTACTGTTCCGCAATCTCTGTCGCTCGTTAAAATTTATAAATTTGATATAATTTTGGTTTAATAATATTTTAATTCAGGTAAAAATAAATATTTAAATTAAAAAATATAAAATTTATTAAATATTTAATCAAGTAAAGACCGAACTAAATATTATCCAGTGTTTTCAAAATTTTTGGTTTAATAACAATTTATGTCACTGTAAGTTTAAATATAAGACAAATTAGATGTTATCTTGTGAATTTTGATTTTTTATATATAAATATAGGGTAAATACAAAGTAATATATGCATGGTTTTCAGAACAGGACCGGTTAGCGAACCGGTCATGCTATCGGTTCACTGGTTCAACCGGTCGAACCGGTCCGACTGGTCGGAAGAACCAGACGACGTAATAATTATTTAAAAAATTAAATAAAAATACCAAAAATATTGAATAAAAAATAATTTTTTATATCACAAGTCATATTCAAAGCAAGTCATAACACATATAAGTTAAAAACCATAAAATCAAGTGAAACAAAATGATTCAAATTAACTACAACATAATATTTAAGGTAAAACATATTAAATAATAAATATAATTATATAACTATAATTAAAAAATAAATTTGGAGTTAAAAAAATCATAACAAAATGATATTGTTTGGTTTAATTTTTTTTAAAACAATCTCACATGGCTAAAAAACATAGAAGAGCATCCCAAAAGTCTAAAGAGTAAAAATATGAGAACAAAACAATCTCACATTGCTAAGAAACATAGAAGCGCATCACAACTAACTTCTATAAATAATAGAGGTAATTTGACATTCAAAATCATGGAGCCTTTTGGTGAGCATTGAGTGAACTATTCTTTCACTTCAATCAAGCTCGAAGTTTAGGCTTCAATCGAGCTTCTAATTTTTTTGAGTTCAAGCCTTTTTGAGTTCAAGTTTCAATATTATATTTCGAGTTTGAGTTGAACTTGATAATTTTTAGCTTGTGAGTTTGAGTTGAGTTGAGCTTACTTTTAAAGTTTTCAAGTTCGAGTCGAGCTCAGCAATACTCGAGTTCGACTTGGCCCGTTTAACAAACGACGTTGTTTGGTTTAGTTTTTTTTTTAAAAAAAAACAAAAAAACAAAAATCCCGGGTTTTCCCGGTTTTTTCCAGTTTTCAGCCGGTCCGGTTCGAACTGTTCAGCGGTTCTGGCCGATTCGCTAATAGCGGTTCAACCGGTTTAGATTGAACCGGACTAAGCAACGGTTCCCGGTTGAACCGGCCGGTCCGGTTTTCAAAACAGAGAATATATGTACAAAAATTTTCAATTATTTAACAATAAACACTCATACCCCTATATGCTCGAACTCAAGACCTCAAGGATAACAATAATCCCTTAATCACTAAAGCCGTTTGATTCATGCTGAATTTTGAGTTTGAATATCTAATAAGTCTTTATATTTTTCTCAAATAGTCTAATATTTCGGCCCCTATCAATATTTAGTTCTAGTTCCGTCCTTGCGGTTGAATTACTTTCTTGTTTTCCGTTTCAAGCTTGGTGTAGCAGGGTGGCTATATCCATGGTGTGGACTAATCTCAACGTCTTCCTTTTCCTTTCTTCCTTCGTTTACTTCTCAGGTGTATATAATGATTCTTGGGTGACTCCCAGCATCGATTGTCTTAAAGGATGGTCTTCTCTGCTTGCTCTTGCTGTGACGACTTGTGCCTCGGTTTGCCTCGAATGGTGGTGGTATGAGTTCATGATATTGATGTGTGGTTTGCTTGCTAACCCCAAGACTACCATTGCTTCCATGGGGATCCTTATTCAAACAACCTCTCTAATTTATTGCCCCCTTATAATTGAGGGGCAAAATAAGATATTTCCTCTT